GCCTGCCTCAGCCTCCCAAAGTGTTGGGATTGTAGGCATGAGCCACTACGCCCGGCCTCAGTTGTATCTTTTATTCACTTTATAGCTGCCATTTCTTTGCAAGGAGCAGTGACTGAATTGAGGCATGTCAGAGCCTAATTGAAAAATTGTGGCCAGGTGTGGCGGCTGACATTCATAATCCCAACAGTTTGAGAGGGTGGGGCAGGTAGATTGTTTGAGCCTGGGAGTTCAAGACCAGCCTGGGCAACATAGTGAAACCTGGCCTCTAACGAAAAATACAAAAGTTAACCAAGCGTGGTGCTGCATGCCTGTAGTCCCTGGGAGGCTGAGGTATGAGGATCCCTTGAGCCTGGGAGGTGGAAGTTGCAGTGAGCTGAGATCACAACATTGCACTCCAGTCAAGGCAACAGAAAGAGAAAAAAAAATTGTATAATTTGGTTAACTGCTTAACCAAATAGGCATTCAATGACTAGAACCAGAATCAGAGGGAGGCAGACATCTTATGCACACTGTGTTTGGGAATCCAAACTTAAACTGACAAGTGAAATCATTAAAAGGTCAATTAAGAAGAGCCAAGGGCTGGACACAGTGGCTCACGCCTGTAATCCCAACACTTTGGGAGACCAAGGCGGGCAGATCATGAGGTCGGTAGATCGAGACCATCCTGGCTAACATGGTGAAGCCCCATCTCTACTAAAAATACAAAAAAATTAGCCTGGCATGGTGGCAGCGGGTGCCTGTAATCCCAGCTAGTCGGGAGGCTGAGGCAGGAGAATGGCGTGAACCCGGGAGGTGGAGCTTGTAGTGAGCCGAGATCATGTCACTGCACTCCAGCCTGGGCAACAGAGCAGGACTCTGTCTCAAAAAAAAAAAAAAAAAAAAGTGACCTTTTTGATATGTTATGTTCCCGAGACTTGTTAAATGCTTTTATTCCACATAGTAACTTGATTATTTACTGTTATTTATTCTAGTCAAATGCCAACTAATTTAGTACCAGATGAAATATTTTCTTGTAATAAAATCAATTAAAAATTAACTGATTTTTTTCAGATTCATTCAGATACGTTTTTTAAAATTTAGTCATTTCTTCATGCTAAATTAATTGCAAAAAATGCAGTTTCCCTTTAAAAAAAAATTGTGTTAAACTTTAGTAGATACATTTTACTTGGCCAAAAAAATAAAACTGAGTTCAATTCCATTTAAGAACTGTTTATTGAACATATGTATGTGAAAAATAGAAATATAAGATAGACATAACTGACTGTAACACAAGACATAAATGACTACAAATAAGGTAAAATGAACAAGAACTGTAAGTAGAAGGATGACCTGTGGGATTTCAGATGAGAAAGCGGCATGCTGTCAACTTGAAAGCAGAGATGCGGAAGTAGAGGACTTGCACCTACATTGCTGGGTTCTCATTTGTTACCTGTGTCTGGGCGAGTTTCTCTCTTTAGATCTGTTTTCTTATTTATAAATGAAGGATGATAATATCAACCTCATGGGAGTGTTGTAGGGATTGAGATAATACATGTTGCCATGTAGACAGAGAATTCAGAGAGGTTAACTGATGCCTAGACTTAGTAAGTCCTAAACATAAGTGGTGGTGAGGACAGTGAATAATGTAGCTGTTGTACCACTCACCCAGAGAAGTTACTCTGGTCTGAGAACTCAGTTCCAACAGGAGAAGCTCATACTGAGCCACAGTTCATTTAGCAAACATGTATCAAGCACCCACTAAAGCTAGGAACTCTACTAGACCTGAGAGAATGATGAACAGGGAACACCCATGCCCATGTGGAGGTCATGACACTAAACAGTAGTCAGGCTGGGTACCTGTAATCCCAGCATTTTGGGAGGCCAAGACAGGAGGATCACTTGAGCCCAGGAGTTGAGACTTCAACTCCCAGCAACTCGAACTATGGGCATCATAGGAAGACCTTGTCTCTAAACAACAAAAACAAAAACAAAAAATTAGCCAAGTGTGGTGGCTGTGATCCCAGCTACTCAGGAAGCTGAGGTGGGAGATCACTTGAACCTAGGAGGTTGTGGAGGTTGTGGAGGTTGTGGCTGCACAGTGAGCCATGATCATGCTACTGCACTCTAGCCTGGGCAACAGAGTTGAGACCCTGGAGAGAGAGAGAGAGAGAGAGAGATAAGATAAGATAGATTAGATAGAATGGGGAACAGTGTGAGGAAAGGCAGTCAGCTCTGAAGTTAAAAATAACCCAGATGTCCTTAACTGATGGAAAAATGAACAAAATGTTGTATATCCATACCATGGACTATTCAGCTACAGAAGGAATGAACTGCTGATAAATGTTACAACATGGATGAACCTTAAAAACATGCTAAGTAAAAGAAGCCAGTCACTAAATGCCACGTATCTTATGGTTCCATACACATGCAGTGTCCAGAATTGGCAAATCTACAGAGCTAGAAAGTAGATTATGAGTGCCTTGGATGTGGAAAGGGGTTTATGGGGAGTGACTGCTAATAAGCATGGTGTTTCTTTTGGGAATGATGAAAATATTCAAAGTAAATTGCAGTGATAGTTGCACAACTCTTGATATACTAAAAAAACATTGAATCGTGTACCTTAGATGGAGGAATTGTGTGGTCTGTGAATTACAGCTCAATAAAAGCTTTTAAAAAGACCAACAAAACACCAGCAGTTTGGGAGACCAAGGTGGGAGGGAGGATCACTTGAGCTCAGGAGTTAGAGACCAGCCTGGGCAACATAGGGAGACCCCATCTCTACCTACTTACCTACCTGCCTGCCTGCCTACCTACCTACCTACCTACCTACATAAATAAATGAAGATTTAGCCAGGCATGGTGGTACACACCTATGGTCCCAGCTACTCAGTAGGTGAGGTAGGAGGATCACTTAAGCCCAGGAGGTTAAGGTTGTAGTGAGCCGAGATTGTGCCACTGCACTCCCACCTGGGTGACAAAGTGAGACCCTGTCTCAAAAGGAACAAACAAAAAACCCATTAGTACTGTGTGGGCAGGCAACCCAAAGTCATCTTGACTTGGCTGTTGAGTGAACAGAAGACATGGCAAAGACAGGGTCAGGGGTCAGTTGAATGCACTCTTTGAAAGGAGCATTATCTTGTCATAAAAGGAAGCCACTGAGGGCTGAGTGGTGCGTGATCACCCAGTCATACCTGTGAGAGACTGAATATACTGACACCTGTGCAAACAGGAATGATAGATTCCAGGGAGTGGTGGAAGATAGGGCGTTAGCCAGCTGTTACAGGGCAATGTCACGAGTCCAGGTAAGAGAGAAGGAACCAAGGAATAGAAGTAGAGATGCTTGAAAACCATGTAACAAGTAAAAAGGCCTAAATGTGAGTGGCTGGTGAGGAAAGGAGAAAGGATGACTCTCTGAATTCTAGCGTGAGTGAAGGGGCATATGCTAACACCAACGGAGATGGAAGAGAACAGGAACAATTAAAAATACAGTTCTTAAGGGCCCTGGACACTGTAGCCAGAGCCATTTCAGTGAGATACAGAAGCCACATCTTGCTTGAAGAGAATTGGAACAAACAGACAGTCTCCATGCCTGTTCCTCTTACAGTCTGTGCAGTCAACTTTTTGGCCTTGTAAAAAGGCACATCATTTGGGTCACTTAAGTACTGTGACCTGAGCCATCTACATTGTATCTAATTCACTTTCCTCTCTCTGGAGCATTATTTTCTAACTCTACAGTGAGACCTATTTTTTTTTTTTCCAATGGGAAGCTAAATAGTGATTAGGAAAACTTAAGGAATATTGAGATTTCTCAGCCTGTTCAAGTACTAGAGCAGTGTTAGTTTTTTCCTAACTTTGTTGGAAATGGATTACTTCTTAAGAAGAAATCTTATCACATATCCCATTGAAAACTGGTAAAAATAGAGCCTATCTATGTCCAAAGTCCTAGAAGATGGTTCTCACCACTGGGATAAATGGATGAATGTGCTCCCTGGGATAGATCCAGGTTCTGTGGAGCTGAAACTAACACAGTATGGAAGGGAGGCCCTTTTTGAAAAAAGAATGTGAAATTGGGCTGGGTGCGGTGACTCACACCTGTAATCCCAGCGCTTTGGGAGACTGAGGCAGGCAGATCACAAGGTCAGGAGATCAAGACCATCCTGGCCAACATGGTGAAACCCTATCTTTACTAAAAGTACAAAAAATTAACTGGACATGGTGGCACGCACCTGTAATCCCAGCTACTCGGGAGGCTGAGGCAGGAGAATCATTTGAATGTGGGAGGTGGAGGTTGCAGCGAGCCGAGATTGCACCACTGCGCTCCAGCCTGGCGACAGAGTAAGACAGCCTGACGACAGAGTGAGACTGTCTCAAAAATAAAAAGTGAAATTGAGACCACATATTTAGATATAAGGCCTTAGAAGATCCCTGAAGCTTAAGCCTCATTAGCTTCATGGCAGAACTTCCTTTGATCTTGATAATGATGGTGGTGGGGATGATGGGGGTGACTGTTAACACATTGAGCACTCATGCGTCAGGCATTGTTCCAAGCAGTTTTTATATATTAATCTTCGAAACAACCCAGGGCCCAGTAGCAGAGGTACAGAGAAGTCATGCCGAAGGTCACACAGTGGGAAGCAGAGTTGTTAGGAGAGGGAAGAAGGGCAGTATGGAAAAAGAACACTAAACTGAAAGCAAAGGCCTTCATGAATGTCAGCTTCGCCACCCCTCTGTGGGGAACCTGGGGGAAAAATCACTTACCTTTGCATGGACGTCCTTGACTTCACCTGTAAAAAAGGAATATTGATGCATGTCATGACTCCTTGACTCTGTTGTTCCGAGATCGAGAGAATGTGTGAAGGTGCTTCGTGAAGGTAAAGTGCTTGGAAACGTAGTATATTACACAGCTTTCTCTTCCACCTCAATACTGTAGCTGAGGCTTAAAAATTCATTGAATTTTGCTTACTTTTCATTTCACTTCTCATGTGTCTAATTTATTTCTTGGACATGATTTTTGTTCTCAGGTTACTTGTCTGCAAGACTTTTTTGGTGATGACGATGTTTTTATTGCATGTGGACCAGAAAAATTCCGTTATGCCCAAGATGACTTTGTCCTGGATCATAGTGGTAAGGCAATTCTTCAGCTAATTCATTTTTCCATCTTTGTAACCCCTGAAATGAAGGCTTGGGATTTAGCCACTCAGTTCATGCACGTTAAGAAGTCTGGCATGTTGAGGGTAGATAGCATTGGCAGTACTATTTTTGAACCAGTGAAAATAAGGAATAACATGAAAGCATTTGCCTACTTGAAAGAAAGAAAGAAAGAAAACGAAGGGAAAAGAAGAAAAAAGAAAAGAAAGAAAAGAAAGAAAGAAAGAAAAGAAAGAAAAGAAAAGAAAGAAAAGAAAGAAAGAAAGAAAGAAAAGAAAGAGAATAACCCAAAGCCTAATTCAAGTAGTTTTCACTTTTAGCAATTCAGTTCTCTCTCTTGTTGCATTGTTTTGCCACTGAAATATTCCATGCTTTCCTTCAGAATGGTGGTTGGCTATGCCAACTTAGATGCATGGATAGTGCTGAACATGAAACAATTGTCCATTTTTTGTGATGTGTATGCATAAGGAAATCTATATTAAAAAGAAATAGATAAAAGGATAATAACTGTTAATGGTGATTATCTGAGGTGTCTTTCAACTTCATTGGGTTTTTTTGGTAGCAACTTTTTTGTTTTTTTTAATTGAGACAGTGTCTCCTTTTGTCTCCCAGCCTGGAGTGCAGTGATACGATCACAGTTCACTGAGGCCTTGACTGTGCTCCTGGATTCAAGTAATCCTCCTGCCTCAGCCTCCTTAGTAGCTAGGATTAAAGACATAAGCCACCATTCCTGGCTAATTTTTAATTTTTTTGTAGAGACAGGATCTTGCTGTGTTGCCCAGGCTGGTCTTGAACTCCTGGCTTCAAGTGATCCTTGCACCTCAGCCTCCCAAAGTGCTGGGATACACACACACACACACACACACACACACACGCACACATACACACTTACTTTGTTTATATACAGTCATGTACCATGTAAGTATGCTTTGGTCAATGATGGACTGCATGTATGATTGTAGCACCATGAGGATTTTTACCATACTTTCTCTATGTTTAGATGCACAAATCCTTACCATTGTGTTATAGTTGCCTACAGTATTTGGTACAGTTACATGCTGTACAGGTTTGTAACCTAGGAGCGATAGACTATACCATATAGTCTGGGTGAGTACTGGGCTACACCACCTAGATTTGTGTAAGTTTACCCCATGATGTTCACACAATTAATAAATTGTCTAATAATGCACTTCTCAAATGTATCCTCGTAGTTAAGTAACATATGACTATATTTAGAAACAAAGCTATTTCATGGGTGAGATGAAAAAATCCCCTTTTCCTGACTTTGGCCAATATGTGGAATTTTCAAGTAGTATTTGGCAATAATAATCTCAACTATTTCATGTATTATTGGTCCTGGGAATCTTGTTTTATCCTATTGTCTTAAATTGCTTTAAACCTATGACAGTAGTAGTGATTATTTTAGCTGATAGTAAAGTCAGCTTCCTCTTTAAATGAAGTAAAATCATACACACATCACATTTCAGAGGAGAGCGATCTTAGAGATACGGTGCTCCTCTTTAATTTTATAAATGAGGAAAGCTGGCTTTTAAAAAGGTAGACAGTAGACCACTTCTAGTTGTAGTGTTTCTGACAGTCCAGAATTAGAGAACTATACTACCAAATAAATAGAGTGATACCTAGGCTTTTAAAATTTTGCGAGGACACATTCTGTGGTACCAAACTTCTTTGTGTCATTCCTTCTTGTTTCACCATGTCAGTCATTCATGAGCTTGGGGGTCATTCAGCATCAATTTTTGTTTTTGTTTTTTCATCTCTGCCAAATTTGATGGTTGCTGTATTCTGTTGGACTGGCCCTATTTCAGGCTGGTGATACCACTGGAAAGTTCTTAATTATAGATAATGTCCTGTTACGTTATCTGTGCTAGTGCTCTCCCTCATTCCTGTGTGGTTAAGGTTAAATACAATAGGCATTTGTATATCATCTGTATTTTACATCTTTCTTAAATTTAGCTTTAGTTTCATAATATTTCTTTGATGTCAGTTGTCATTTTGAAAGCTGAGCCACTGAAACTAAATATGTTCTAGGTTATAAAGTTAATACACATAACAATAATATTTGTTGAGCCGCTTACTCTGTATGTACAGGCATTGTACTCAGTGCTTCATGGGTATGTTATACATTGATTTAAGCTACTTGGGTCATTGGTAGTTTTTGTTGATGGTGATCAGGGCCTGCAATAGTTAGAAGTTGGTGAGAGCTATTGATTTCTTCCCTCTTGATCTCGAGTTACTTAACCTTCTGCAAAGTAGGGATAATAATGGCTATTTGATAAGGTTTTGTGAGGATTAAATGCGTTAATATATGTCATGCAGTTGGGAGTGTGCCTGTCACATGGTAATATGTGTCCACTGCTATCTTTGTTGTTGTTGTTAATAATAATATTACACCAACACCATTATGTAGTAAAATTTTACAATGATTTTACAATGAGCAAGTCTCAGACCTAATTCTGCCACAGATACGTTTATTAGGAGGCAAAGATTTTTTTTTTTAAATCAGTTATTTAACTTGTGTTGTAATCTTAATGAAGTCCCAACTCTGTGCTTTTAGACTTCCGATAACATCTTGCGTTAAAGGCCCATTCAGAATCCATGGAATTCAGTTTACTTGATTTTAGTGAAGTAACTAAATCCTCGATTAATAGTTAGATACAGGATTGGTTCCAATTCGTAAACCTAGAATGTAGTTCTGCAGTTCTAGGTTGTTGGCTCTTGCTGCTCATATAAAGGAGTAGCAATGCATTTAAGATGTTTCTAATAATCCACACACACCTTTCAGCAGTCGAATACTTTTAACATCCACAATGCTAATTAGGCAAAAGTTGCTCCCTTTGTGTAAGGTTTTGATTAGAGTCTTTCAAATGCTAACTAGCCTCCCCTTGGGTGTGTTTTCCTGATTAGTGTACTTCACTTGTCAGTTTACTGCCCCTCGGGTATAGACTAAAATTAATCCACATTTTAAACTTCCTGCATAAATTGAAGTATTTTAGAGTAAACTACTACAGACAGTATGCTATCTAATTTAACCCTTATAACAAGCCTATGATGCAAATTTTATTCTTATCCCAATTTCATTAGGAAAAAATAAATCAGGCTTACAGCCAAGGCCCCCTGGTTAACAAATGTCAAATCCATAGTTCATTCAAAATCTACACAACTTCAAAACCCATGTTCTTCATCATTCAAATTAGAAGTGATTACTTTAGTTATAATTACTTCTGGTATTGTAAATATTATTTTATTTGGTGATGTATGGAAAGAGCAGTTATTGTTTAAAGCTATTCAGCCAGGCACGGTGGTTCACGCCTGTAATCCTGGCATTTTGGGAGGTCGAGGCGAGCGGATTACCTGAGATCAGAAGTTCGAGACCAGCCTGGCCAACATGGTGAAACCCCATCTCTACTAAAAATACAGAAAATTAGCCGGGCGTGGTGGTGGGCGCCTGTAGTCCCAGCTACAGGCCAGAGGCTGAGACAGGAGAATCACTTGAACCTGGGAGGCAGAGGTTGCAGTGAGCCGATATTGCGCCACTGCACTTCAGCCTGGGTGACAGAGCGAGACTCCATCTCAAAAAAAAAAGCTATTTTCCTCATTTTTGATGTTCCATACTTTGAGAAGATGGAACATAATTCAGGAGGGGGTTCATAAGTTAAGAGTCCCATGCCCTTTTAAAATAAGGCAATCAAGAAGTTGGAGAGCATAATAAAATTATAGTCTTTGCCTATCAGTACTACCAATTTTAAAGGATAGTTGCACATGTATAGATTAGGCTGTGGATGTTTGTGTGTATCAAGTTAGGGCATTGGAATGTCTGTACTTAATTAGCTCCATCTGGAACAATGAGGTGACGTCCTAAAATGTGTAGCCTTGG